CACTGCCTTGCTAAATTGCAAGTCAGGTTACCGACACTGCGTGATATAGCTAAGTGTCGTGAACAGTGGCTTTCATGTTTCTTCCCAGGTTATTTACAATCTTAGTTAACTGAAGCCTTCCATTTTCTCTTCTACTGTATCTACGAATTTCCTGTCTTTATCCTACTGTTTCATCCCGAAAAGACGAAAACCGAATAAACTGAAACTGAAACTCTGGTTACCTTAACCGGAGCAAATGGTCAGCCTCCATAGAATATGTTGGCTGGAACATACGTTACGCGTCACCAAATGGGATGCCATGGCGAGCGATGATTTTCAGGGCAGGTAGTGAGTGGAATAAACCCAAAGGTGGTCAAACTAAGAAGTAGCAAAAGGGTATGAAAACCCTAACCAAAGGTATCGGTCACATAGGTCCCATTAGGCTCCCTGCTGGGGACCTCTGGATGATCCTAACCGATGGCTAGAGACACTGAACGATATTGCTGAGTGTCGTAAACGGTAAGGCTTGTGCAATTTCTCAATATCTTTGACACATTAGTCCACTAAAATTTTCCAGTTTCTATTCGACTCTACTTCTAACTTTTGTGTCTTTCTTCTACTGTTTATTCAAAAGGGCAGCCAAACATTAGCAACCAAAACTGGTGTACAAAAGTGCATTTTTAATGGTTGTTTAAAGTGAACTGAACTGCATGACAGGAACAGTAGCCACATGGCCGTTTCAGGTCACAAACACAGTCATCATTTGCTTTGCCACACTGCGCGCATGTCGGAATTTCTGTGATGGTGCCCCACCAATCGGCGTCTACTGAGCTGATTATTGTTTATTATCTGGGTTGAAACTGTACAAACAGGTCTAATCACTCCTGTTAGTCACCCAAACCGCGTTGTAGCGTCCACCACCCAGCGAGCATGGTGCAGCACCAATTCACCCGAACTGCTCTGTTTCTTGCTGAGCTAATGAGGGTACCCAGTGTTCGCAAACCTTTCTGAGACCCAGGTTTTCACGTAGGATGATGCAACTGAAATCCCGATGGCTTTCATCGGCTGTCACTGTCACCCACACATCATCCTCTACCATCATTTGTACATCAGCAACGGTGTCCGCTGTGATGGCCTCCGCAGAGCAAACACACCAGAGATGGCCTACCACGCCTGGGTTCTGCAAACCACTCAGTGCTTCTTAAAGGCGCTTCATCAAAAATGGCAGCTTTCAAACGATAAACATTCTACTGCTGCTTCAAACTACATTTGTAGTCGTATAAATTTATCGACCTTCTTGGACATCGACTGAGTTTCATCCTTAAAGTTTGAGTACAGCGACCCTTATAAATAGTGAGCTTTTCGCGGCGACTGAAATTTAGCTCTGTAGGACTTACACGGGCACCCTGCCCTCAATCCTGAAGACTGAAAACTGAAGACTGAGTCGCAATCACTGAACAATATTCGTAATAGTTTACAGTATACATTATCCTTGTCCGGCCATCTGCACATCTTATATGTACGACGTATCGGGAAACGTTTTGCTCAGCCCTCGTATATGTATATTCTATTCTAAAGAAAAAAAACTTAGTAGATAAAGAATATAGGCATGTCAAACCAAACGAAGGTACGACAATACGGGTCTTGGGACGACAGAAGGCACACAAACCCCATGTACCATTGCGACCTATTGACGCATTCACAACAGCACCTAAATGTAACCTCTTCCAGTTACACCGTCCATTTTCAACTGCAAACCAAAATGATGCAAACGTTCCACGGTATTTTTGGAACGCTTCAAAGGGCTGACAATCAAATCAGACAAAATGGTGGTCTTCCTATACGTGACCCCAAAGGTTAACACTATACCGAAACAAATGGCCATCAAAACATTCAACACTTGTTGTAAAACTATCTACATTTGCAACTGAGAACTACGCTATCCGTGGACGGACTATTGTAACCTGTAGAAATCTGTATGAAAACATGCTGCCAATCTGACGGGAAGGTATACAGCAGATGCGAGAAATTCCTGTGGGTCTGCCGCTCTCAGATCTGTTTGCGGAGGCGATTATATAGCACTTCGAAGTCAAAGCTTTTGAAGTTCTTGAACTTTGTCTGTAGATACGATATATAGACGACACATTCATCATACTCAGAGTTACTACGGCACATCAGTTCCACAAAAGCATCAACTACCAGGTGACTTGGATCAATCTCAAACTAGAGGAGAAAATGATGAACAATTCTGCTTCCTCGATATCCTTCCCGTGAGACAACTTGACGGAAGAATAAAGACCACAGTCTGTCGAAAAACCAACCATGACAGATCGCATCCCCAACTACAACAGCAATCATCGCTTGTATTACCTGAAAAGTTGTGTGCAAACTCTATTCCGCCGAATAAAAACACATCTGAGAACATTTCAGCTAAGGACAAAAGAAAAACCTCGACTGTTTCAATTGTCCTATCTAACGCATGTCCCAAAGAGCTTTATTAATACGTGCATCAGGGGTAAAAATAAAGCTAACAACACACGCAAAAGATGAAATTTAGATAACGTTACCCTACATACACGGCAAGTCAGAAACCATTGAAAGTATACTACGACCGATCTTAATTAAGAGGGCACGTGTAAGCAAATGTTCGTATTGCTTTGCCTTTTAAAGATAATAATTTATAACTAAATTAGTAGACCATAGTCGTCCTGAAATTACAAAAGTAAATCTGCAACACAAGTAGTTACTTTTATTGGAAAGTCAATTAATACAGAAATGCAACATTTAAAATTGTGATAACTGACAAAGAGCACAGCTGTTTCGTCCTGTTTGGGACTCGTCAGCAGTGCGCACTTTTCATGTCCCTGTCAGGACTCGAACCGCAATCAGTCGGGTCAGGACCTCCACCCCTTACCCTTGAGCTATAAGCCCATCAAGAATACCTGGTGCCTCTGAACAATCGAATGGGTTAATCCAAGCTTGATACTCTAAAATTTTAAATTATACTTCAGTAGTCATATTGAAGGTATACAGTGCGGAACAATGAAAGATCTTCGAAGAATGTGTTTTTAGTAAACTGAAAATGTAACACTAAAGCCTTTTTTAGAACTTGGATATGGGCATGCACAGCATTTAAACCGCAGCTGTTTCCTCTTTAAGTCAAATACTTTGCATTAGTTAGAATTCATTGAGTGATTTGCAGCACACCTGCAGGTTTTCCATATCGAATCAGAGGTATGAAGAAGTTAGCCTCGACTTTGAATTTGATTGGTACAGCGCACCTTCCAGGTTGGGGCCTAGGGGATGAGGACTGTCGTTAGTTAGAGACGTTAAGAGTTATGGCACAGAATAGAAGTCAGTGGCGCAAATTCTGTACTGTCTGCCTTTTGTAATTCCGTGCCCATAAAAAAACGATAAACTACCACACACAAATTATCGAAAAGCGTACGGTGAAACACAAATAATTATTTTTATCCCTGCTATCTACTATTTTCCATTGTAACCTATTTTACACTTCATTATTTATCCCAATTTACCCTTCCCTGTTTCTGTAGCTATTTTGTGGCTTTGGCACCATACTTATATATATGGCATCCAAATACAAACATTGCAACAAATCTCATCGGGAAAGATTCATTTGAAAAATGAGGTATCCTAACATCGGTAACGTAATAAATGATTATAGATAGTGAGTAGTATTGATGGTTGCAGTTGTATTGAGAATAAATTTTAGTGTAGATGAGGAAACGATTCTTTTATGTCTCAAAAATGAAGTGCCTCAGGAAAAACCAACATAAGAGTCACAAATTTTCTGGCTCATTTCTTTTTAAGCCTAAAGCAATCGTTCAGTTTTCAGAGTAATAAAATAATTATTTAGAATCATTTTTCAACTGCGAAAATTCAATGAATACCCAATCCTATTGCTATCGTCTAAAAACGAAAGACAGTCAGTCAAACCTCATTTTTTGATGTTAAGCTCCCAGTCTGTGTAAAACAAATATTGGGTTAGAGAACAAAAGGTGAATTTTTAAGAGGAGGAAACGAAGGTCAGCGAATATGCTCAAAACAGCGTACGTGCTGCAAGCATCTGTATTTCTATTCTATTTTCACTACCTCTGTTTTATATATCTTTCATTTGATTTATCTAACTGATAGCCCAAGTCCCGCAAATTTGGACAATCCGTCTTCTATTAATCTCCAGACGATTTTTTCTAACCGGGAGAAGCAAATGTGTACAGATTTACCACCGAAGACTGGTTGAGCGACGACGCGTTCATTAATTCTATCGATCGGGCTTATCACAAGGTTTTCCACAGAGAGATCGGATTGAGAACAAACTTGGTACGATCGTTGATAGTTGTTATGTGACCTGCAGTGTTAAGATGTACAGAGGGCAAAGCGCACGACACAACTCACCAAAAATTGTGCCATATTCGAGGTCATATGCGATCTAGTAATAGAGGCCAATAAAACAAAATAGGGTCTTTACATGAATCTAGGGGATGGCGTTGAAAAGTCAAAATAGTGTTACTACACAGGATATAGCGCGGTGGACAAATGCATGCGCAATAAATATCCTAATCAACAAGAGATTTTCATCCTAGTCTGAAAACGCTATTGCCAATCACCCTAATATTATTTTTACAGCCACTTCCCCCATTTTTCTACTGACATTTATAAAACCTGTGTTTAAGAATTTGATGAAAGTAATCATGGTTAACTGTTCAGTATCGAGACCCAGTTCCACCGTGGCGATTCGTAGCTTCACCACAATATATATAATAATAATAATGAAAGTATTATAAAAATTATTTAGTTGCACTAATTTTCCTTGCAAGAAGCTGCCTTAAACTCGTCTGGAGATATTTTTGCCTTAACACTAATCCCAGTAATCTAATTATTCATTTGTTTCGAAATGCCTAAATTGCTATCCATATGTATTCAAAAGTGTTGTTTAGGTTTAATACCAACCAAAACACATTGAAGGATACGCAATATAATACCACATTGTGTCTATTGACATGGTCTCCCTCCCGAAGATTCCTACCTTACGATCTTGGTTAAATCCGGGCTCGTCAGCACACTTCGTAGATGCAAAACTCCCGGAACATGTATTGACCGAGGCGCGGAGTAAGCTACGAGTGGCTGTTCGGCGATACTTAGAGGCACCTTGTCAATTTTTTACCAAAGTTTTCTGTAAGTGCTCCATTTCTGTTCACCATGTTCAGCTACGTTGACCTCTAGTCGAGCCGTATTCATTCTTGCTTGACGGCTCGGAAGCCAAAAGCGTGGAGGACTTTTTGAATGGAAAAAGAGAATTCCACGAATACAAAGATGTAAGTTTCCGGACAATATCATTTTTTACAAGCAATTGTTCACGAGATGCCCTTAAGTTTTTTCATTTTATAAAATCATGGATAGTGTCGAAGTTCTAGTAAGTATTTATGGAATGTCACAACGATAATTTGAGATTATTATTAAAGTCTTAAGCTTTACTTTACTCAAAGTCTATGTAAGTGAAGTCACAAAATGTTTCGTACACTCAGAGAGATGCAAACTCTGTCAAACCCGTCGGTAGCAACACGTTCGTGAAAAGGTATTGACATTACAAACAGATGAATACATTCATGAACACTACCTCCATTTGATTGACTAATTTTCTACTAAATGGACTGATCATCAGATTTTTCACTCGATATACTGGCCGCGATAAAGCAGTCCCAGTCAATCTCCCCTGCATCAAGTAAACTGAGGCCAAAACCTCGCCATTTTTTGCATCACAAAATACTGGATTAGCATAAAAGTGGATGAACTCAAACAAATCGACAGTTACGACAAACTGCAAGTGCGGCGGGAGCATAGAAGTTCGATCATTTCTGAAGTATGCCTATTTAAAAAGCTTGGAAAAATCGTTAAATATGAGATGAAAAGAATATGTTGTTTCCATGCATCCGTAGATTTACCTGTGATGGGAACTATTGATATTTTTATTTGGTTAAACTTTTACTAAAACGAAGATCACTATTTCGGTCACAAATCACACTTTACCTCTTGGAAAAGACGGGAGTAATAAAAGTAACCGAGTACTAACAGTGATAGTACCGAATATGATCTTCAAAGGTGTCTGAAAAATTTAGCAGAAACCCGCTGCTGAATTATGGGGATTCTAGCCAGACGAGATAGACTAGAAATACTGTGAGCGCTGATGCGGAAAAATCAGTAATGATAAACAAAACGTGCTAAGGCCAGAGAGTGATACCTGGATAGATTACCGTGTAGATGGTAAGTAGAATCAGTGCAAATGTTTTGTACAAATTCTCCACTTGCGGACGACTGAAGACCACACAGTTTCGTAACTAGTTCATCAAGATACTAGACTGAAAATCAACAGTCGACAGCAAAGAATTAAAGAACAACTTTCTTCGAAAATGACAGGATAACGATAAAACAAAGAACAAGGTAAACATATCGATTAACATAAAGTGAAATTGTATCTCATTGGATGGTCTGAGTCTTTTTATTTAGGAAAATCTTCAGTCAATCGTAAAAGTCGATTTATTTACTTTAGATCGTCCTGAAACAAGTGAATACAGTTAGAGTGAATTTATCGGAGGAAATTGTAACATTTTTCAAAATGTTGAAATATAGAATTAGGGAAGATCATTTAAAAACGTGAACTATTTAGGGGACATGATTTTGTGCCCAGAAAATGTTCGAATACGTTTTCTGCTTATTCTGGCATCTTCAGTTATGTCTTTTATAGTGCGGTGTTAGATATATGCAAACTTCACTTTGCTTAAACCAAATTATCCTATGGGCGTTGTCAACGAAGTCAGCCCCTGTTTGAGTGACAAAGTGTCCTGACTTCTCATCCGTGACAATTGACAGATCGGTTCAATTTATCTCTTAGTGTTTTCTTCACTATAGCAAACTTGCTTAATTACATTTAGCAGGAAATTATACGAATCGCAACTGCCCCGCGTCCCAACTGGTGCGAACTGTACAGGAACAGCAATAACAAAGAAAGGTTTCCGTGTAAAAATCAAGTCTTGGTAATGCAAAACAAAGGGTCTTGATCAAGACAAGCAAATTATGATCTAAAGACATTATGTTGACAAAACGGGACTTTAAACAACAAATTCTGTACAATTATGAGAAGTATACGGCTGTATTTGGGGTCTTCAATAAAAAATTTAAAACTACTAATCTGGCACCCTCAGAGAAGTCAAATCTTCACTTGTAGGCAAATGAAGCGAAATATCGTCTGTCTTGAGTAAAATGTTGTTTATCCAATGAACACAGTCCACATGCGGAAAATTATATCCCTATATTGATTTCTGATATAAATCCTTCATTCTAATATAAATCTAATGAGTAGAAGCTTCCAAGAGAATTAATTATACACACATTGTTTCACAATGCTTGTAACCTCATTACTATTCATAAAGTTTCTTAAACTTTGAGCCTATTCTTGCTATGACTTATTGAAACGGTCGGGCATGAGTGCCGCTTTTCCGTAAAGAAATTAATGCAATTTCTGTACCACAGTATACCGCAAAACTCCATAAATTGGGTACAGACGTGATGACACTGCCAAACACAGAATACTTTGACCTTATCCGGCTTGATTGTGAGGATGTGAAGGTTGGACTTTCCAAAGAGTGTCGCCGATTAGCCAACGCACTATTGGAACGCGTAGTGGCGGATTTCAAGCGAACAAATGATGAGTGAGTTTAACCAAAATTATTTTTGAGGATTCTTCAAGTTGGTATACGGTCATGTCTATTGTCCAGAGAACTTGCCTTATTGCAATTTCTGCGTATCGCTGTCTGCAGCATTACGCCCTCTTATTTTTGTCATTGTATGGTAGCTACTAACGAGTAGTATAGAACTGTTTTTTGAAAATTTAGGAGCAAATGCAATATCATCGGCAAGAGACAACATTCAGAAAACGTGGTTTTTATAATTATATTCGCAATTTTAAGGAAGTATCAACTCGCCGGTGTTATCTAATAAGTGTTGTCTATTTACCCTGAAATGGTAAGAGTATAAGGCACATCCAGAACCGGTAATAGTCATTCAAGACATAACAAACGCGATCTGTGATTGCTCATACTCATCTCAATCCAGTTATATTGCAATCACCAGCTTCTTGGCGGTGTGTTTCCGCCAAGTTGTCTTTATTGTTAGTGGTGATGTATCGAAAAATTATTTTTATCTAGACGCCTTCAGCAGAACTAAATCTCTTACCGGTTTTTATTAGCATCTAAATAATTCATGCATCTCAAAGTTACGTGAAAATCGGACAAGTCGGGGATTATGGGTTCAGCACTCAACCCAGAATTACACGATTCCTATGCATGCACCGCACTAAAGAATTTTGAAGAAGACCAAACAACTACCTTTTATCTGTCATCACACAGTGAACTCCATTGCCAGGTTTTTCCATTAGGTTTCGAAAGCATTGTTTGTTCAATGAAATGGCTGGTTTATCTGGATGGGCTTCGCATGTGACATGAACATCATATTTAATTTTGATATCACATATTCCAACATTATTTCTATAGAATATGTGCCGGATTTGAAGAAATGCGTGAACGATGTAGAGCCATACCTCAAAACAGTGAAGAATTAATCGATATGATCCAGTATATGGAAGAAGCTCGCTGTCAGGGTATGGTTCGCATGGAGGAGAAAATTTCAGTAAGTCTGCAACAGTTGCTTCTTTTTGTCCCAACAACAAAAGCAAGAACGAAAGTAGATTACCCGCACATTTTCTTGATTCGTTTATTGTCTGCTTCATGCCAATGTTGTTTTTGCTTTATTAGGGCACCATATTACAACAGTCTGAATGTACGGCATTCGCCCCAGTGAGCCATATATTTCATCACCTGCAACCAAAAATAATTGTCATTCTTTGATCCGTAACCTGGAAAGCGGAGCGCACCTACCCCAATGTTAGGTCACATTAAAAGCGGCAAGTCGCTTTTACCAGTTTTACACAGCAGCTGAGAAGAGAGCAATGCCATGTAATAGTCACGCATAAGTAAAAGTTCTTGGGCTGTCAGAAGTGGTGCTGAACGACCTTTTCTCCCAGTGAAATACTGTGCTGGTTCAGCATACGATTCCTGTCATTGCCGACTCAATATTACCACCAGACACGGGGAATGATTTGAATATATCGGTGATCGAATGCAGAAAGTCCATCAGCATCCTCAGTGTGAAGAGATCATGATCCCCTAACCTCTGCCCCCAGTGACGATGAGCGTTCCTCTCTTGAGGGGAAGTCGGATATCAAGATAGCACCCGTGGTTCCGCAGGCTGGTGAGATTAACTCTGGGGTTTGCTTTTCGTAATACAATTTCCGCTTCAGCATCACCTCCAGTAATCACCAAACTCTAGAGGTGCTTGAAGCTTTCGACTGTTTCTCATTGATCCCCATAGGGTCTGAGTGCAGACGCAGGCTCACATCAGTCTTGTATAAGCTTTTTATGTTTGGGTGATTTGAAGCATATATATGATTGGGAACGTAAGAGCCATAATTAATTGTATATTGGGAAACTTCATTCTTGGACTAAGTTTCTTGCGTTACGGAAAACACGAACTTTCGTGCATGCGGTACCACTGCACCAACTGGATCGCAAGCAAACTTTAAATAATTTCTGATTCGGGTTTGTTCAGCTTCACTAATGGACAGTTTCTGTGAAAAAGAGCAGCCGCAGTAGACAGTATACTTCTTTCCACCTCTAATCAAAACACCTCTAGTCAAATCAAGTTTCCCGTGCTGTTTTCAAATGAACCTTAACTATCCACTACGCCTACCTCCCGTCTGGTGTACGTAGTATACATGAGATTGATCCCAAAATTACCACTTCTTTACTCTGAATTTATTCTCGCCTGCTCATTGAGCTTCTCTAATTGTCTGCCAGCGTTTTCTTACCAACCGAGTTGACTACTTCCATGCATGTTGCATGACACAGGCACTAAACGACAATTTGGTTGGCAATGAAACGGTTGCAAACAGATCGATATGCTCAGAGAATAATTAAAAACGATTTCTATCAACCTGAGCAAGGAGAACCAATTTTGAAAAACTTTCCAAATCTTGAACTTTGCTGATTTTGCTCTCTCCTCGTGTTTTCACGATCCAGAAGCTAAGGCATGAAATAGAACGATTAGACGGAGAACAGATGTTGGAAGATACACAATCTGTAGTGTTCACAATTCTCAACTACATTTCATCAGGTGTCTCCTAACAGCATAACTTATCCTTACTGCCACTAAACAGAAAGCTTAACCAGACCGAAATGGCCCAGCACCCAGACTAAATCTCAATTGTCTATAGCGAACATCACAAAACGACCAATCCACATGTTCTTATTCTGTTTTTGAACGATTTATTTATTATGCGGAGGCACAATTTCCGGTTGTAACGAAGGCCATCAGTCTTCACACAGATAACATGAAAAAACCGGGTTGAGCGTAGAACCACCTACAACTACTAAAAAATCAGACTGCTAAACAGTGTAAGCTCTGCTACATTGTAGAGTGCTTTTTTCTGGTTTTCAAATAACACACTTTTCCGTAGGGAATAGAACACAGAACAGCTTTCGGAATTTTATTCGAGGTGTAAGTTCTAGTTTCTCCCCATGCATTTTTAGAAAGTTATCAGCTTTCAATAAACTAATTTGATGACTCTTTGCCGAAGACGAATGCTCAGATAATTATTTACTGTATGACTGTCAATTTTTTCAGAGACTGAACTCGCGTTCAGAGGTACCGTACGCTACTTCCTTTTTCATTATGCTATATTTTTGCTTTCGAGCTACAATAATCCAAAGCCATAGTAATCGACAACTTCACGATGAAACGTCTTGATAAATCGTCTTATTTTTAACCAATGAGATAGGTCCGGTTTATTCCGTGGGAAATAAATACGTGTACCAACAAATCCTGTATGCAACTAAACAAATATCATCAACAAGTAACAAGTTATGCCAGACACAATGATAAGATGAATCGATCAAAGTGTGAGTTAGCCTCTGATACAGATACAATCAGGTGATCTGGGATACCTCGTGCATAACGGGGTCTTTTCTACCCTGTCCAAGATCATTTTGGCAAAACTTTTCATTCATTTCACGAAAAACGAGAGCATGAGCGAATTTTAGAGGTATGCCATTGTGCATAACAACCGCGATATGATGCACCATTCTAGTTTTCACATCGTTCTTATACCCGAACGTCAATCGTGCGTAGCTCAGCTATTTAGAAACGTTGTTCCAATGTTCCAATTGAGTCTTCTATTTCACTGAACCTTGTTTACACGAATACCTCTGTGCCTGAATTATGGAAATTTCCACGGAACCCCCCCCCGTTTGTCCTCCCCTGATTTAGAAGTTGGATGAACCTACACTTCATTCAGGTAGAATTTTAGAATTAACAAAACCCAATTCATATTGAACGAAAATAAAATAATTCACTGAATGTTTGTCTTAATTCCTTTCCTAGTGGTCACGTGAATATTTGGACTACCTTCTGGATGTCTATCACTTCAACCCGGAGGATATTGCGCAGAACAGCGCGGTCATGACATGGAAAGCACGAATTCAACCAGAGTTTGATGCGAATGATAAGGTACTTTACTAGTGCTATTTGCAACCCCAGGCGAATTCAAAAACATTAGTATCTGCTTATCGCCCCTCTGTGGGCCTTATTATTTGAGCGTTCACGTGTTGCCCTCATTCTTAATCCATTTTATTTGCCAAAGAATTTGTGTGTGTGTGTGTGTGTGTGTGTGTGTGAGTGTGTGTGTGTGTGCGGAGACCGACTAAGATTAACCGGATAGCTGTTTCATTCTTGTTGGAACTGTTCCGTAGCGCGCATGATTCCTGGATCCCTTTCAGGACTCAAACTATTATTCGAAACCTTACGCTCGAGCTTCATGGCCAACAGTTAAAATTTTAAACACAACTACAAAGGTTGACTAGTGCGCCTTGTAATTCCATACAACATCAGACACTACGGTATGTGCATAGTTATTATTCTTCGGTTCGATCACAAAAATGATTTCCACTTCGTTGTGCTTCGTTTAACTCTATAGATTCGAGTACAGCGTTAATGGATGATGAACATTCTTCCGTT